CTCCCCCCCCCCCTCCCCCTCCCGAGCGTGCTCCCCTTGCTGCCCCTGAGCTCGAGCGGGCGGTGGCTCCCGTGGTCGCCGCCCCCGCCCCCGCCGAGCCTCTTTGGATGATAGCCGGGGATGCGACCCCGACTTCTAGGTCCAGTGATCGTGAGGATGAGCGGGAGTTGGGCTTGCTAAGGCGTTCCTGTTTTGATTTCAAGATTGTAAGAGAGGGTGGAGGGAGGATGAATAGATGCACGGGATGGAGGGGATGTTCCGGCGTGTAATCGGCAACCGGTAGTGCTGAAACTGTCATGATGGTGAAAGACGGTAAGAGGGTGGAGGGTGGGGGGAAGAGGAACGGGCAACGGCCGACACCGGTGGGGCTCAACGCAGGCGTGTTTTCCGAAAACCTTTCGAACTGGCGCAGAAAAACACAAGGGGGGTAGTTTCAACGAACGCCTTCTTCGGCCATGACGGGGTCTGTTGTGAAGCTCTACGAGCGAATGGGCCACCCTCGCACACAGGATCTCCGTTCGTGCCGCGCCATCTGAAATAAAGAATCCTCAGGCCGACGGCATTGCAGGCAGGCAAGCAGGACGAGCGCACCTCCTACTGTACGTACCTGTACTTCGAAGAGAGCCCCGGCATCGTGGCAAAGGGACGCATTGAAGAGCTGCTCCCTAGGGGGAAGGCCGCTCACCGCGAGGGCGTAGCACGGGGGAAGAAATCGTCGCGCCGGCTGTGGCTTTCGTTTTCGTGGGGAGAGAAACAAAGAGAGAAAATAGCAGCGGCGGTGGGTGAGGTGGAGGGTGAGGGGCAAGCGGTAGATTTACGTCTGTACCAGTACCGCTGAGTGCCACAGCCGTCTTTTCACGTTGTAGCTCGATGCCGAGCTGGTGGATGCATCCCCCGAAAGCTGTGTCGCAACAGAGGTTGTCACCGCTGCTGAAAAATAACCATGCTTGTAGGTGAGGCAACGACTGCTGCTCCGTGTAGACAAAGCTCTACAGCGCCGAAGCAAGCGACACTGCAGCCTGTGAATACCCGCAAGCGTACACGAGACAAACTTCGAGCCACCGCCTAGGCATATCACGCAGTGCCCCAAATGTTTTCTTTTTGACTTCATTCTCTGTCGCACACGCCAGACCAGATTTTCGTTAACTTTTGGGTGACGCCAAGTTAAAACGCTCCGAGAAAGTAGGCACCACGACATCCTATACGAGGACAAGGAAACCGAGGCACGCGCCAAACACAATTGCCACGTGCTTCAAATAGTGCTGGTGGCCCCGGCGAAGAAGTGGCGACAGCCTTGGTTCTTGGGGTCAACGTCTTGATTCGTCAGTCGGCACAGTCAGGTAAGGGTTTTTCTAGACGCTGCTCGGCAGCTGCGTTGTTTTTCGCACTGATCGTGAACGCGCGAGCATCATGCTCGCAACCCTCGTTTTAACGCTAAACTGCTTCAA